CCCCCCCCCCCCCCCCGCATGATTCCTGCTCCTGGAGTGATAAACTTCCTCCTCCAGGTGGCCTTCCCGGGCAGACTGGCAGGCGTCAGGTGGGTAAATCCCAGGGTGGCATGTCCCGGGATTTCCATCTTCTCTCTCTAGAGACAAGATCAAAGAAAGCAAAACAGCTCCCTTTTCATAACTTCCTTTCTTACAAAATCTCCTGTGCTCCGCCTGTCTAGGCTTCTTTAGACAGAGAGCTCCTTGACACCCTCTAAATGACGCCCTGAGGGAACTCAAGGTCGCCAGGGAGGCCGGAGTCTCTGATGACCCTCTAGGGAGATCTGCGCGGGCTCAGAGACCTGGTGGGAAACCTCACGCAGCCTCTCACACCTGCCAATGCACGACTAGAGCATAACCGCCCGATGGTCTCCTTCCTCACAAGGCTGCGGGTCTGCGCGTGTACACGGACCTCTAATTTACATTTTATGGGTTTCTCCCTGGACGGCATAATGAATATCTGCGCGCTGTGCTCTCTTTGCCTGGAATATCCCCCGCCTCCCCGGCCCCGTCACCTTCATCTCGTTCACCACCTACTCGCCCTTCAGATCTCAGGAAATGTGCCTCCCCCGGAGAAGCCTTCCCCGACCCCTCAGGCTAATAGCCAGAGTTATTCACTCTCATGTGGCAGGTGACCTTTGACAGTTTGCAATTATGCATTGATTGCACCATTTTCTTTTATCTCTGTCTGTCTCTCCCATGGCCGTAGGCTCCATGTGAGAAGCAAAATGTCCAGTTTATTCCCCTCTGTGATCCTGGCTCTGGCTCAATGCCCAGCACTTAGTAGGCACTCAACCAATTCCCTTTGATCAGCGAATGAAGTTTCAGGAACGGGACTCTGCCCAGAACCCTTCTCTCCTGTTGGGCCGCCCTCCTGCCTGGCTTGGATTTCCATTTGGTTTGAAGCTTTGCTTTGGTGATCAAAAAAAGCATTATAGGCAAAGTCCTTCAACCTCCAGATAACTCCTATGCCACTCGGCCTAAAGGAGCCCTTTGAAGGCAGCATGAAAAAAACAATAATAAACAGGAATTTTAAAAAATTGAGATCTGAGTCGAAACCAAGCCAAATTATTTTATCGATAGTAGCACCCATTTGTTGTTTCAGGAGAAGGCTATAATAGATGAAAATCAATAATGTCTTTGTTCCAGTAGATTAACTTCATGGGTAGATCAGGAAGAGAATCTAATGGACAGCTTTTCTCCTGCTGTTCCCCCGTCAGTAAAATGATGCCGTTAGGCCAGAGAGAGGGGTTGGAGGAGAGAGAAGGTTAGAAGGCTAAGAACATTGTCTACTGCAGGAACAAAGATCTGGAAATAAGGTCAGATTCTCCCTGACTCATCAAGTTGGTGGATAGATGGAGGTTGTCTGCCCTTCAAACTATCTTTGGCATTCAAATAAAAACCTTCAAAGATATCTGCCAGCAGCCCCCTTACCCTCAGACGAAGGCCCCCAGACACAGGATCTCACTCCTGGACAAGAGTTGTTTGGAACCAGGCTGAGAGATTCTGTCCCCTGGAATTTAGTTAGGATCAAGCCACCTGTTGGTCTGCTAGGCACTTCGAACATGATGTGAAGGCAGGTTGGGTAAACGCCTGTTTTGGCCACAGGCACAAAGAACCAGAGAGAGCCAGTCTTCAGGCCGAGAAGAGAAGAATGACAGGAGAGGAGAGGCCAAGTATCACAAACAAGAGAGCCACCTTACTCCCAACTTTCTAGGTTCTGGTCCTTGTTCTTTATGAAGCCAGCCCAAACTTCCTGTCCTTGGAACCCACGATAGCCCCGGTGTGGTCCTGGAAGATGCCCTCTCTCCACGTTTCCTGTTGCCAAAGTTAGTCCCAACGCATTTCTGCATTTCTGTTCTCTGTGCGTTAGTTTTCTGCGGCTGCTGCAACAAATTACCACAAAGTGGGTGGCTTAGCACAACACAAATCTATTCTCACGGGCCTGGGAGCCGCCAGAAGGCCGAAATCAAGGTATCAGCAGGGCCGCGTTCTCACCAAGCATCTAGAGGAGAATCTTTGCTTCTCCCAGCTTCCAGTGGCTCCTGATATTCCTTGGCTGCAGGCCTCCAACCTCTGCCTCCACCTTCCCATGGCCTTCTCCCCTTCTCCCTGTGTCTTCTCCTCTTCTGTTTCTCTTAAGGACAGTTGTCATTGGATTTAGGGCACACCTGTTTATTCCAGGATGAACTCATCCCAAGATCCTTAATGATATCTGCAAAGACCCTTTTTCCCAAATGTGGCCATATTTGTAGGCCCCTGGGGTTAGGGCTTGGACCTATCTTTCAGGAGGGCCACCATTCACCTCACTATACCTTGTAGCCCCCTGAGCCCTAAGGTGAGTTTACCAGACATTCCTGACGAGCCTTGCAGAGTGTGAGTGACCAGCTGACGCGTGGCCCACAATACAAACTATCTGTAGAGGGTTATCGAGTGTTTATTAACTATTATAGAGGACAGATGCATGAAGGAAAAGCCATTTACTTTTTGCGTGTGTAAAAAGTGTTTCATGGCATTTTGGTTTCTAATATTCTGGGATGGAGTTAAGCCTTGGTCCGTCACGTCTGAAGTCACTGTCTTCGCTAGCCTCTTTTGGACTTTTATCAACGATGATAGAATTAAATGGTTACTGTAACGTATTGAGCACTTGTTAGGCACCAGGCCTGGTACTTGGCTCTTTATGGGGGAATCACATTGAATCTTAACAACAGTGTTCTGAGGGTAGAATTATTATCCCCAGGACTCATACCCAAGTGGGTCTGGCCCCGGGTCGATGTCTTTTCACCATTAGGATGACATTTTTGGTGATCTGGCACATTTGAGGGCTGCAGACACCAGAAAGAGAGGATGAGCATCTACTCTGTGCCAAGCAGCATGTTTGGTGCTTCGCATTTGTTATCTCATTCGATCTTTCTAGCTCCTCTGTGAGAGACGTGGTGCAGAAATTAGCAGAAGGCCGCTCGCACTGGCCGGGGTTTCCCATGGACGTAACCTGCCGAGTCAGTGGGACAAGATGTTCCCTGATGTTCCTACTTGTCGGGGCCAAGGGGGATCAGGCCCACTCATAATAACTTCAGGATATATTACACAGGTAGACACCAGAAGGGCAGGTGTAAACATAAGGTCAAAAAGTACCTCCTGAATTAGAATCTCTTCTTGCTCGCAAAGGAGCTTAACATCACTTCCCAGGCCCTGGCCCTGGATGGGAACTTGCCCTCCAAGGGCAAGACCCAAAGACGAGGCTTCTCTTGGCCCATGTTTTGTCTTTGTAATTTCCCACCCCAACCCCAGGAAAGGATTTCCATTCCAAAGCCTCACCCTAGTCTCCTAATTTCCCTCTTCCTCCTTACTGTCCATGGCTTCTTTCCTTTCTCTACCCCTCAGAGTTGAGGACACGCAGCTCAGATAAAGATCACCTTCCCCCAATTACTACTCTTTAATCAGTTCCACCCACATAGTCACCCAAGGCAGCCACCATGATGTCATTTGCAGCTACTTGAAGAGAGCCACCAGAGCCACCAGCCACTGAGTCCTATCTGCCTTTCTACACCCTCCGTGACTTCCTGTCTCCCCTAACCATCACTGCCCTGGATCAGGTTCCCGGCATCTCCTTCCTGGGCTCAGGCAGGTCCCCCGCCTCCATCAGCTCTTGATTTGATCT